TCCAAACAACAGATGAAGATGCGTGAGTCGAGTGTGGCCGATTCTGAGACGATTAAGCTTTACATCTGCATTACGTAAACGAATACAGGTAAGGGGTCTATATATGGTTTGATGTTATGAAGTTTATTTTGAGTTTGAAGTTCCCAATGTTGTTGTCAAAGGGACGAGATTAGCAGTCGAACATGTAGTTTAATGTCTGAGAATGGTAAAGATATTGTTAATTCAGTAGTTGCAGATCGTGCTGCAGAATCATCCAACTCATTCCCTGGGATACCGACGTGACTCGGTATCCAGCAAAATGAAATATCAAATCCCTTCTTGTGAAGAGCGATTAATAAATGATTAATGAAGCATAAGATTGGGTGAGTAATTCGAAAATTTTCTAACTGGTTCAAAACGCTCTTACTATCGGAGTATATAAAATACTTTCGTTCGATTTTTCTAATGGCGTTCCACTGGGCGAAGCTAGTGTATAGGGGAAACTTGTACAGTCGTCTGCTTCTACACTTGTGTTCGTGAGTGAGCGTGTACTTGAAGTCATAAGCCATGAGCAAATAAAACTCCCTCTTGTCGTATTCATTGACCGCCTCAAGAGCTAGGTTGATTTCCTCGATGTCGAAAATGGAGGTGGGTGGACAATGTTGGAAACACCCCTTATGAAAATTTAAGGTATATTTTCCTAAAGAAGGTAAACCCCCTCAGGGGAAACACACGGTTGATAAAACAATGTTGCCATATTGCGGAACTAAATATTGAATAAATTCAGCGATTGGTTAAATTCAAGCTACGCCCCTAGAACCAGAATCTTGGAATGTCTTATTCCCGGTGAGTGTTCATGGTACGAATTAGAGATGACATGGAATCAAACTTTCCCTAGCTTCAGATTCCAGGCGGGAATCTTCGTTCCATTCCAAGTAGTTCATGGTAGGGCCCCAGACCCTTAATCCTCGTTCATAATTATTGATCGATGACATGGCACAAAAGTAGTTTCGCATATCAGTGGTGCAAAAATTAATAAATGAGTGAGTAATACATAATGATTTATGTTGAGTAACATAAATTATGAGTTATGTTAAACATGATAGAAGAGAAAAAATTTGTTTGAACAACGTTTAAACAAGCAAACAACATGTGTAATATAAGTAAAACTAATGAATGAAAATTTTTAAGTGAGAAATATAAAAGTGTTATTTAATTCCTATCAAATAAGTTATTAATAGTAAATTACTAGTAGTTATTAATAGTAGTATTAAAAATAAAATAGAATTGCCTGCAAGAGGACTGAAAGTTAGTGACAATGAAGCGGCGCTGCTTTCGCCCTAGCGGAGAAAGCGTCCGATATAATAGAATGAGCTAAGTCACACCCTAAGAGGGTGTGTCTAAAAAATAGCGGTGGCGCTGATGTCGCCCTAGCGGCGAATCGGTTGGATGAGATGAGAAAAGAATAATAGTAAATTAAAAGTTAAAAATTTAATAATTGAATTAAAAAATAAGACTGGATCAGGGGGTCTAGGGTTCTGAAATCTTAGAATTCATCTGGGCCTATATCTATTACATGGGGATCATAAATAGGAAGTTTTTGGATAATATCGTTATTAGTACAATCTTTTTATAAAGATTTTTGCAGTTTTTAGCAAAAGAGGTCCTAATAGTGGGGATATTAAGTTCTTGCCGAATTTTGTCACCTCTTACATACCAGGGTGATTTGGTAATCAGTTTAATAGTTTGGTAATAAAACGTAATTTTTAAAAAATATAAATATAACAACAAAATTAGTGAGCATTATGAAATACATTTTATTTTCATAGATAATAATAAAAACTTCATTAAATTTCAAAGGAACAATCTTTTCGGGCATCAGCTATACATTCATATAAATTTATCGCTTTCAAGTAACTTTCACTTAGAAAGTTTATCAGTTGTTCATGGTGGTAGAGTTTATTCTCAATGAGTTCTTTTTCGAAGTCTCTCACAACTCCTGCCACGTTCAAGAACACGACTTCTTAAAGTCCTTGACAGATATCAGGTCTTCGATTTCCAATTCTTCGACAGAAATTCTCATAGGCGGCTGAATACCTTTTTTCTCTCCTATGTTCTTATACAGAACACAGGTGAGGAGTTGATTCATTCACAGCTCTGCTTGGCTTTTCCACCGGTAAGCTCCTTTTCCATCTTGAATGTTTTTAAGAGCTCATTGGACTTAAACTTTAGGGTTAGGTATCTGGATATCCCTTCATCCTGGACTTCTATAATGGCGTTCCACTGGGCGAAGCTAATGTCCAGGGGGAACTTGTATAATCGGCTGCTTCTAGACTTGTGTTCGTGAGTGAGCGTGTACTTGACGTCATCAACCATGAGCAAATAAAACTTCCTCTTGTCGTATTCATTGACCGCCTCAAGAGCTAGGTTGATTTCCACTATGTCGAAAATGGAGGTGGGTGGACATTGTTGGAAACACCCAGTGAACTGTTCTGGCTTAAGAGTGAGCCTCACTGCTGAAGGATAGTAGTCATCTCCGTAACGATTAAACTTTCGAATATGAATTGCTGTCTTTTCCTTGAAGTTGCTGGTCAAAACAAAGTAGTTGTCTCCAATTGGGTAGTAGTGATCGGGATAGCAGCTCTCTTGAAACAAACCTTTCCTTTTTGGTTCATCCTAATAAAATAAAAAAACACTTTTTGAGTCACCAAGAACAACAATAACGTTTAAAGTAAGTAACTTATATTAAGTAAATTTAATTATGTTTTAAAGTTAACTTGATGAACTACATCTTTCTATTCAAATAATATTGAAGAATTTTTAAAGTTAACTAAGTGTTTTCACATGCTCTGCTTAAAACGAATTCCTGCTAAAAGTTGTACTAAAACTTCTATTAACAATAAATTCCAAGCATAATAAATAAATTATAAAGAAATCAATAAAAATTGGTACTTACTTGAGTTTCAGCATGTTTTCTCTTTAAAGATCCGTTCATAATGCCCTGGTGAAGCAAAAACTTTGGAAACTTAATCGGGACACTACAAGTGAACAAGTAAAATACTGATATAAGATGGGAAAATTATGTCACTCTATCCTTCTGGTAATTCTGAAAAATTCGAGATAAAGAGGTTTCGAGTTATAGAGGTACTTTAAAAATCAAATTTTATTAAGAAATTCCATTAAAAGTGCTTTAATAGTATTTATTAGAAAGTAAACGCATTTATGTGAATTAATTATACCACATGATTCTATTTAGATAACATTTTTTAAACATACCTTTAACACTGAAAATAATCTTTCAAAGATTTTTGACGTCTAGCTTTCTTTGCTTCAATAATTTTGTTAGAAAGAGCAGCAAATCCCTCATAGCCGACATTTTCCTGGGATTCAAAAAAAGTTTCTGAAAAGATTTCTGCAGCTTCTCTTTTACCCTCACTTTTAATTCATCAATATGATCTTCAGCTTCTTCCTCTTCATCTGATACTCCTTTTACATTATCAATGATTTCCGCATCCGTCAATGTTTCACACGTAGCCAGACAGTTGTCCACTTGTAAAAAATCCTCAAAAGTAATGTCAACATTAATTCCCGATTTTATCGTATTCCATTCTTGCAAATCTGGCACGGCATTTTCATTGTCATCAGTTTCTCTTTCTTTATTGATGCCTTCGACCTCTTCTTCATCCTCTTCACAGTTATTCCTAAAACCAGCCTTTTTAAAACCATTTCGAATAGTTTTCAGAGACACATTTCTCCAGGAATAATCAGTCATTCTGATAGCATCCAACACATTTATCTTTGGAAGAGAACTTTTCTCATCGATGACATCTACAAGTTTGCGTACCAACTGTTTTCTGTAGTTCTTTTTAAAACTCCTAATTATCCCTTGATCCATTGGTTGCAATTTTGAGGAAAATATTTTACAGTGACATTTTTTCAAGTTAGGCAGATTGTTATGTACAGTGCAGTTGTCTATGAAGAGAATAATTTTTCTCTTTTTTTACTCGCATAGATTTGTATAGGGATTTAAACCAATATTTCACTTGTCATCCAAGCTTTTCTGTTGGCATTGTACTTGAAAGNAACACATTTATCTTTGGAAGAGAACTTTTCTCATCGATGGCATCTACAAGTTTGCGTACCAACTGCTTTCTGTAGTTCTTTTTAAAACTCCTAATTATCCCTTGATCCATTGGTTGCAATTTTGAGGTGGTGTTTGCAGGAAAATATTTTACAGTGACATTTTTTCAAGTTAGGCAGATTGTTATGTGCAGTGCAGTTGTCTATGAAGAGAATAATTTTTCTCTTTTTTACTCGCATAGATTTGTCTAGGGATTTAAACCAATCGCCAAATATTTCACTTGTCATCCAAGCTTTTCTGTTGGCATTGTACTTGAAAGGGAGATTTAATTTTAGCAAAGCGTCTAGGTTTTTCCGAAAGTCCTATCATGAGAGGAGGAAGTTTCTCTGATCCATTTTCGTTGGCAGCTAAGAGCAACGTCAAACGAACTTAGCTTTGCTTTCCGCCTCTGCACTCTTCTTCCTTCAAAATAGCAGTTTTGTCAGGCAAGCATTGATAAAATAGTCCTGTTTCATCTTTATTGAAAATATTCTTCGGTTCGTATCCTTTCACTAGAGCAGGGGATGTCTTTTATCCATTCTTCACACACACATTCCGACACAGATGCACTTTCCCCTCTAAGTTTGCGAAAAACAATGTTATGTCTACTTTTAAAACTATCGAGCCATCCATTGCTGCCTTTGAAATGTTCAGCATGTCCACGTTCTTTAGCAAAATCTTCCGCCTTTCTTTGCATCATCTGTCCACTGATAAGGATTCCTTGAATTCTGCATTGTGTAAACAATTTCTTAACGCATTCGTCTTTATCTGGAAAAGTAGATTTTCTTTTTTTCGCATTCTTGTCGAAAGTTTGACCCTGTGATTTATTAATGGTCATGGCAAAAGCTAATCTTATAGGAAACTGCGTACGGTGTAAAACGAAAGGCAAGTCTTTACTATCTCAATCTCTTGTATTGAGAGTAATTCTTGGGATTACTACAGAATTACCCTTTTTATCACCCATCATAACTGTATAAAATAGAACGTTTTTCATCATTTTTTGCACAATTAACCTAGTTCCATTACATAAACCAGCAGCAACAAAAAGGTTCCTGACAAGCATTACAACTGCTCCGATCTTAAGCTTGAGTTTATGTAAAGGCAAACTTGTAATGTTAATTTTTGCCAAGTATTCAGGCTGAAAATGAAGCATTATGCTTTCATTCTCACTCTCATCTCTGTCACAAGCAGTTGCTGTATCATGACTTGTGCAAATAATTGTTTCTCCTGGGAACTTTTGAAGAATCAAATCGTTTAAAGCATTTACTTGCTCATTTAATGGAGCCAAAACAACACCACTTGATAATGATGTTTCTAAAATACATGGCCCAAATGTATCTTCAATTATGTTTTGTGACAGCATTTCAGTGGAAATTTCTAATAAATAATTTTTCACCATTACCTATTGAAATTAACCACTTTCGAAAATCTACTCAATCAGCACGCATATTTCTTGAGAGAGAGAAACTTCTAACTTGACGCCAGAGTGAGGTACATTTAATTATACCATGCACCAACTGATGTGATCTAGCTCGCTTTAAGACTGGCAATACTTGACGTAAGTCCCCACCAAACAAAATACATTTCCCTCCAAATGCACGATCACAAGTTATTAGATCTTTCAGAGTGCAATCTATAAACGTTAAAGCGACTTCATGTATCATTGATGCTTGCTTCATCCCAGATTATCAGATCCGCACTCGTTAAATTTTTTTAAAAATTCCTATCTAAATAAAGAGGTACAATCTCTTCTTCTGAATATGGCATGCTGATAGGTAACTTAAATATTCTGTGAGCTGTCCGGCCGTTTGGCAGAAGTATTGCAGCAATTCCAGTTCAAGGAACACACAGAATATTTTTATTTTGAAATCTATTATGATGATACAAACATCTATATAGAAATGTTTTACCTGTACTACCAGGCCCGTCTACGAAAAAAAGTTTATCCATAAGAGCATCATCAATTGATTGATTGATTATTTCAAAAATGTGCCTTTGTTCACTGTTGAGTTTTGAAATCATATTTTCTGCTATAAGGAAATGTTCATTTAATGAAAAACAATCATCAGATAAAGGGAAAAAATTAGAATTGCGAATTGGTAATGATGGTTGCGTATGAAAATCAAGCGACTCCACTCCATAGTTATATAGCCATAGAGAATGTATTGTTGCGTTAAACGCCCTGCAGTAGTAAACACGTTGAATTCCCTTGTTATACGCAAGCGCCATCCAAAATACTGTGAGGCAGTTATTCGTTGAGAGGAAGCAAAATTTACAACGTCTAGAGAATAGCCAGGATTTCCATTAGGAAATAATAGAGGAAAGATCATAGGCTCTACATGAGGAGATAATTTATACAGCTTTTCACATTGATATTCATGCTCAGAATACACTATGAAATCAATTTTTGGTATATCTCCACCTGCACTAGTCACAATAACTGCTGCTACTTCCCCTCTAGCACTTGTGGTGAGAAGATTGTATTTTCGTTGATCTTTTACAACTATTCAGTGGAATTGTAATTTGATATCTTCTTTAGGATGTTCTTGATATCTATCATAAAGAGTTCTATAAGCTTGGGCATATGGATTTCTTTCCATGACATTGTGAATAAGAAGCAAGACAGATCTAAGACATTAATCTAAAATTCTACTCGACAATGCTGAATCACTGCCCTGGATATAAATTAGAGCAAATTTGTGATTTTGATTATTATGAGGGATCAAGCTTGTTGTCGCAGTAACATTGACCTCACCTTTAAAAGTAAGACAACTGATCCCTTTAAAAGAAATTTCATGAGATGGGCAAAAAGTTGCCATCGCAAACGCTGAGTTGTACGATCGAGCATTCTGTTTAAAGTTAATTGCATCAGAATGGCTGCCAAGTAAAAGATATTTTAATACTCCTGGATATTCCAGATTGGCGAGCTCAACTATGCCATGATGGCAGCAATTGAATTTCGTTCTGCCATGCTCAACTGGAAACGAAAGAGCACCACAGTTTACACATTCATCACTGAATGTTCCAACAGGAAAAGGGGATATAATGTCTGATAAAAACTCACCAAGGTATTCGTTTTCATTTAAACGTCTTGACTCTTCAAGGTTTCTTTGCCGCGCATTCCGCCGTCGCGTATTGATAGCACTACGATTATTTTCCAGGTAATTTTGAGCTGCTAAATTATGTTCAGCTCTATGTCGCTGTTGATATCACCTAAGATATTCACGGCCATCCATTTTTTATAAAAGATATAAGTATTTTAAAGTAAACTTTGTTCAATATATTTTGATAATTTGGAATGTACATAGTTTTTTGAGAGAGTGTTGATTCGTGCTTCCAATAACTCTTTCCGATTTATCAGAGCTGTTAAAATATATTAGAATTCTGAAATAAATAACTGCGTTCTATCAAAACAAGCGTTTTATTATAAAACTTTAGAACAACTATCTTTTTACATTGCCACTCAAAATTATTAATAAACACTGGATAATATTGCGTTAATGACACTTTTATCTAATAACGTCATAAACAATCGTTTGCATAAAGTTTAGTTCATAATCATATGATCGTTTGCATAAATAATCGTTCGGTCTTTTTATAGCTTTACGTAACAAGTGTGAGATTTGTTTTTTCTTTTTTTGGAATGGCGATGTTATAATTTTGTTGTTGACTTAATAAATCTTCCTTTTTATAAACGTAATAGTAGAGTTCTCTTGATTATTTGTTTCGAAGTCCTCTGAGTTTTATTTGAGGTCAGTTTGTATTTTTTGACAGCATTATTAAAAATTATTACCTTTTCACACACATGCGTTCTCAATTTTGATTGGCTGTTTTGTGAGTTACTAACCAGAAGTCTTATGTGATTGGCTATGTGTTATCATTTTTTTTCTTCTTATATATAAAGATGTATATATATAATTTTTTATTTATTTCATCGTTCTTTTATTCAATTCCATCATTTTTCTTCTATTTTATTACTTAATAAATTAGATCTGAAATAATTAAATATTAAAAAATTGTGTTTTAATTTAAATCATACATAACAGTGATCTATATAACAGAAGGCTTTGCACCAAGCTTGTCACTCACCAACCCTTAAAATTGCATACTAATTTTATTTGGATCACTGCGTTATCCCTATTCACTTTATTTGCTAGCCGAATGCCTACTACTGGTTCTAGTAAATAAAACTGTAGATTCCGAATATTCTCTTGTTTATTGGGAAAATAAAGTTTAACGAACTGTTTAGATATTTTTACTCTCTTTCTCTCTCAGTTTTTTTTATTAATAGTTATTGTTTGAACTATACAGGTGTTTATCAAAACACCTGTATAAAATCAAAATCTTTTCAAGCCCCCTTTGTCCATTATTTAACCAACAAGAAGAAATGGACGCTAACCATCTAAGACGTTGCCCTGTACTTCCTCCTGGGCCCTTGTGGGAACGATATTGGCGGGCGAGATGCATTATTACAGACCTATAGACTCTTTATTTTTTTAGCTCTTGTTTCCGTTTTTTGTTCTTTCTTTGTATTGTTCTTGGCTACATATTTGTCTTTTATATCTGCCATTGGAGAAAAAAAATTGTTTGAACTAAGTAACTTTACGATGTGTTATACTAAGATGAACTGTTAAAAATAGATTTTCTTTTTGTTCTTGTGTGTAAGCAGTTTTAAGCATAATGATTTCACTATGATTATCATTCTAATAAAAAAGCCTCTTGAAGTGATTTCGCTACGAACATGGCCAATATAAAGAATAACCCTGGATTTAATTCTATGAAACATTAAAAAACTGCAATCAGTGAAACAGGAAATGTTCAACGAAACGTTAAACTACAATAATAGTGCTTGCAAGAGCTCCACAATATTGGTATAATTTCACACCAGATTACTTATTGTAAAAGTTGGAGCTAATGACACCCGTTATTTGGTAAAATATTGAACCATATTTTAAACAGCGTAGGTTAGTCATGTAATAAAATATTTTTTATGTACATATTTACTAACTAATTTGCATTTTATTTATAATTTTTTTTTTACTTAAATTAATTAAATTTTGATATTCCTTTAGGTAAAAACAGAAGTGACTTAGAATCAGTAGTAAAAAAT